ATATTCTTATCAATATTACTATTTAGAGGATTTTCCTCTTAAAATAAGAAACTCTTCTTGGCGCCTATTTTAGTATAAAATATACTTAAAGTAAGTGGGATATCCTCAAAACAAGAATACAATTTTTTCGGTGTAATTAACGAGGAACCGCAAAAATCCATTGATATATATATCAAGCGGCGTTCCGACGATAAATAACAGAAATTGACGCGTTCGCGACTCGTAAGAAGCGTTACATTTCCACGAGAGAGAGAGAGAAATCGATGATTTGTTGCGCGAGAACGACGCGGTGATCTTTCTCGCGATGACGATCGTAAATCGCGGACATTGTTTCCACGTTGGTGGAATCGCGGACATCGCGTCGTCGTGATAACGTGCCGCGCGAGAGACACACACGGGGAGTAAAGTTTCATCCTCGTTCTTCGACGACGAATCGAGACAGTTCCCCGTGTGTATCATCATCCCGTATTCCCGTATCATAAATACTCGCGAAACGCGCGTCCCCCGCGCCCTCCCCCCCAGAGATCGAGAGAGTCGGTCGTAAGGCGGCTGCGGCGGAAAAGGGGCAAAAGAAAATTTCCACACACGCGGGGCTTGTCACGACGTCGGCGGCGCACGAGAAATGGGCGCATCTGCCGCGCGAAGAGAGAGACGGCGGGAAAGACCGCCGCGAAATGACGTACGTAAACCCGTATATAAGCCCTCTCTCGCCGGCACCGGAGGAATAGTTCGATTTCTGATATACGAGGTACATTTAGATACGATTCGAGCTCAAGTGGCATCGGCAACGACGTCGCCCGTCGTCGCGCGCTGAATCTGATGTATAATCTCAGCTCTCGAGAACGCGATTCCGCCTCACCCATCGCGCGCGCGCGCGCGCGCACACACACACTCTTTCTCCCGACGTGCTCTTACAACAAAGACAATGAGATTCCTTTTCCACGTGCGACTTGCCAAGCGATCCGGCGGATGTCACGGCGTGGTATGAAAACCTGTTTCAAAAGTAAAGGCGTAGTAGGTAATCTTTGAGCAGGTGGCTCGACGAAATCTCGAGCTACCTGTTTCCGCACCGTTAAAAAACACTCTAATGAATCCTGTTTTAACTGTAAAATCGTTAACGGACACGTGTTGTTTTTAAACTTGTACAGGCGCGATAAAAACGCCTCGCAGTAATTTAGATCTTATATATATCGCTCTGCATATCAAATCGAGATTTAAAATGCCGATCGTGTCTCTCGCCTGAGCATATTTATGTATGCGTGTTTGTGTGATACGTTCAATCAAGATTTCAAATTGACATTTTATTTTTAATCGAACGTTTATTTATTGTGTGCGTCTCGTCGAGAATATTTGCGATTATAACGGCAAATACCATAAATTGCGCTCGTGCGCAAAAACCGGATCCTTTTAAATTAAACGCGCGCCTCGCTAACTGGCTTTCGTCCGCCTCCGATCGCTGACAAGCAATTGCTCGCTTACGGATCGTTATGTACTTTCTCTCGAGTTTTTGACCTTAACCTCCAGTTGATCTCCTCCACATCCCCCCTTTCTTTTTCTCTCTCTCTCTCTCTCTTTCTCTCTCTATCTATCTCTTTACGTCCCGTTTATCCGTAATTATAGCGTGAGTGTTAATATACTTGCGCGAGTACCTTCAAAGATACGGTCTCAGATTCGTCTTTTAGCCCAATTATTGAAATTAATTTTGTTTGCGTTTTTTTTTTTATTTACGTTCCTTTAATCGAACGAAGACGCGCGTGTACGTTCGATGGATGTAGGCGTGAGAGAGAAAAAAAAATCGCATCGCTCTCCGTGTACGACGTACAACAAACCGCTAAACAGAACGACGATCGGACGCTCCGTGCACAAGCGCATGTATCGCGTTATCTGTATCTGGCAATTTTTATTATTCGAGTGTAACTGTACTCGGAATATTTTAACATTGTACCTTTCACGGACTGACTTAGCACTATGTCATGCGCTTTGCTTTCGCGTAGGCGCACAATAGTCGGGGAGACACACACGGTCTTCGTGAGTCATCGCGCCTCTCGTCTCTATATTCGCGCGTCTCGGCGCGTTTATTTACGCGTTTGTCTCACGTAAGCGCATAATTGCCGACGGTGGTTGGTTGTTGCGCGGCGCAGTTAACGCGCCGTGTAAAGTCGCAGTTTTTCAACCCAGACGCGCTGCCGTAATTATCTCCCGGCTTCCGCGCGGGGCGGGCGAGAGTCTCTCTCTCTCTTTCGCGACACTTCGGTTTTCTGAAACGAGCGACGAGACTCTCGCCTGCCCGACGAGCGTTGCAAATTCTCGGCCCGAGA